AAAAAAAAAAAAAAAAAGAAAGATGTTTCCAACTTTTGTAATGAAAATGAAGAAAAGTGGGGAAAAAGATAAACAAAATTTGAAGTAGAAAAAAGGGATATTTTCTCTTTCTTAAAGACAGATAAATGCTTAGGAATTCCCATTTTTCCTCTATTACCATGTTTTCTAGAATGTCTATATAGAGCTAACCTTCCATTTTCTTAAAGTTGCTGTAAGCATCACCAGTTTCCAGGGTTAACACATACATGTCCAATGTTAAAACTCAGAACTCACCTGTAGTCTCAGCACTTTGGGAGGCCAAGGCAGTGACTTGATCAGGCCCTCACTTGAGGTCACTGATCACTTGAGGTCAGGAATTCAAGACCAGCCTGGCTAACACGGCAAAACCTGTCTCTACTAAAAATACAAAAATTAGCCAGGCATGGTGGTGCATGCATGTAGTCCCAGCTACTCGGGAGACCGAGGCACGAGAATCGCTTGATTCTGGGAGGTGGAGAAACCTCCCAGTAAGCAGGGATCATGCCACTGCACTCCAGCCTGGGCAACAGAGTAAGACTCCTTTTCAAACAAACAAACACGAATAGTACTTAACTCTTAAGACTTCGCTTCCAAAATCCCTAAGCCAATGGGCTACTCACTTGAACCAGTTGGTGACAGTCATCATCACATAGAGGGAAGCCAGAAAGAACACGAAGTGGAAGTAGGAGTAGATGTAGACGGTGCCTTTCTTCTCGTCATAAATGACCCGCGGCCCCTTCTTCCCCGGCTGCTGCTCTTCAGTGTCTGTGAAGCACAGAGGAAGCCCAGGCTCAGTGAGTGAACATGTGTTTAGCATTCAGCAAAGCCATGCTCACTAATTCCACAGGACTTTCAGTAGAAAAGATGCCAGATGGCCATCTGTACCTTCTGCAACTTCAATCTGTGCCCCGAGTACAAAACCTCCACCCGACCCTAGCAACTTCCAAAACAGGATGAGTTACCTAATGCCACATGTATTTTTATTTATTTATTTATTTTTGAGATGGAGTTTCGCTCTTTTTGCCCAGACTGGAGTGCAGCGGTGCAATCTCAGCTCATTGCAACCTCTGCCTCCCAGGTTCAAGCGATTCTCCTGCCTCAGCCTCCTGAGTAGCTAGGATTACAGGCACCACACCTAGCTAATTTTATAGTTTTTCTTTTAGTAGAGACAGGGTTTCACCATGTTGGCCAGGCTGGTCTTGAACTCCTGACTTCAGGTGATCCACCAGCCTTGACCTCCCAAAGTGCTGGGATTACAGGTGTGAGCCACAGTGCCCAACCTGCCACATATAGTTTAACAGAAACAGAACCCTTACAGATGTAAAACTTGCTATAAGCTTACCAGAAAGGGAGAGAGAACAAAACAAAGTTCTCAAGCCTTTGGAATCCTCCAATCCAAGAAGGAAAGTAAGGTGAAGAAATGAAATGGCCCCAAAATAAGGTGTCAGGATCTCTTGGCGTTTTCCATATCATTCCTTTTTTAAAAATGTGCTTTCTGGCCGGGTGCAGTGGCTTGCACCTGTAATCCCAGCACTTTGGGAGGCTGAGGCAGGCGAATCACGAGGTCAGGAGATCAAGACCATCCTGGCTAACACAGTGAAACCCCATCTCTACTAAAAATACAAAAAATTAGGTGAGTGTGGTGGTAGGCACCTGTAATCCCAGCTACTCTGGAGGCCAAGGCAGGAGAATTGCTTGAATCTGGAAGGCAGAGGTTGCAGTAAGCCAAGATCACACATCACTGCACTCCAGCCTGGGATACAGAGTGAGACTCCATCTCAAAAAAAAAAAGTGCTTTCTGACTCTCCAAATCTCACTGTATAATTTAACTTACATATAAACCAAAATGTAGACTGATTCTTCCTACCAGAATACCAACACAAAACTCAGCTATCCTTCGGGAAGAATGTGAAAACTATACAAGCAGTAAATCAGCTTTAGAATAACAATTTCCCCTTACTAATCAAGTTACTTGTGTCTGAACCCAAATGACTACAGATTAGAGCTATAGGTCTGCAGTGCCACACAGATGCAAAGAATAAAAGTGCTCTGCTTACCCTCTCCACCAGGACTGAAGCAAAAACAACAGCGAGCTATCTGTGAAAGCAAAAGCAACAGTCAGGTGGCTTGTGTTCTATTTCTAGTCTACCTTAGTAGGGCAGCAGGGGCCAAACCTGCTCTTATTTGAACCACCTCCCTGATCCTGAATCGCATGTATCCCTTCAAGAGATTTGGATTGTTCTTTCCCAGGTGTGCTGGGTGCTGGTGACAGGAAACACCATGGAAGATATGCCACCGAGATCCCCATCCAGGGTCTTGGTGCTGGCTCTTGCTATCATGAATGCTGGCAGAGAACCTCCAGACGTCAGCTCATTTACCCTTTCCGGGTGACCGCCATGGAATGGCTGATCACAGCAGGGGTAAAAGCCATGTCATTTTGGCCCGTGGGGTTAGGAAGGCTCTGTCCAGCTGCACTGTCCTTCACTTCACCCTCTGCCTAATTTTGCCTCATTCCCCTTCTCCCTCCACATGTGCTGATCCTTAATAAATACCCCATGCAACAAACTGCCTCAGCCTCTGCTTCTGGAGAATTCAACGTGAAACACAATGAACATGAAAAGAGCCCCACTCTCCTGGTGCTCCCCTCTCGTACTTTGCTTTCAATGTTATTTCATTAAATCCTCTTTGACCTTTGTATTGGGATTACTATTATCCTGTTTACAGCGGAGGAAACTCAGGTCAGGCAGCTTAACTTGCCAAAGTCACCAAACTAGCTTAGTGACAGAGCTGGGACAGACGAATATCGGATGGGGACTCCAAGCTCCATGATTCACAGGAGGTGACACGTGGTGTCTAGGAGCTTGGTGACGCTGGTGGAACATGAAATAGTAAAGCAAAGGAATTTGGAAGCAGCCTACCCATGTTTCCTATCCAAATCAAGCTGCTGCACCGGCCATGGACAGGGATGCAGGGAATGCTTCCCTTTGAAGCATCTTTGGTAACTTGCAAACTTTTTATATCATTATTTCTTATCTACTCAAAGCAATAAACTTAATTTTTGAATCAGGTCAGGTGTAGTCCCAGCTATTCGAAAAGCTGAGGGAGGAAAATTGCCTAACTCCATGAGTTTGAGGCCGCAGCGAGCTATGATCCCACCATGGTACTCCAACCTGGGTGACAGAGACCCTGTCTCAAAAAAAAAAAAAAAGAAAGAAAGAAAGAAAAAGAAAAAAGAAAGTACGTGACTTCAGGAGTCTGGTAAACAAAGCACTAAGACAGCCTGGGAAGCGCAGGGCCCTTAATACTTTGTGGTTGAAGATATTTCAACTATAAAGAACAGACAACCAGGGATGAGAATATGAGCGCTTACCTTTCATTCCATTTGTACATCAAGGCCAAGCCCTTGTTTCCCTGATTGGCAAGGAAACCTTTAACAGAGGCATTAGCCTTAACAGGAGCCTGGATTAAGTGGCATGGTCTAAAAACCATGAATTCATTCAGTGGGCCCAAGACACGGTATGCTGAGGTCTTAGTTCTTTTGAAGCTCAAGTTACCCCAAGAAACTACGAACTCTCACTTTCAAAGCTGTATCCTGTGAAATGTGATGCAGGAGAGCAAAACAACTTCCATCCTGCATGCTCTCCAGTTCACAAGAAAACACTAGGACATTTTTCCTTGGACTGAGAAGAAAAACATCCTGTCTTAAATCCTAACTTGGAGACTTGCTGTTCTTTGAGCTTAAACTCTGTACACAATAGGGACATTGAAACCATAACCACACAACCTCAGCAGGTGGTCACCTAGTCAGTGGTGAGAACAAACGCCCCTTCTACAGGCCATTCTCTTCTGTATAATAGGCAGTAAACTACTCAAACTCAGCACAGTTTTCTCCTTTAGGCAACAGAAAGAGTTGGTGACTGATGCTGGCAGACTGACAACCCTTCATAATGGCTCACTATCTTCAGGTCAGGTGCAAGAGAGACCATCCCCAGAGAGCCAGCTGCACAGTAAAGTGTCCATATGTGGGCAAACCCGAGGGCTTTTCCCATCCATGGAAAGCTATTAGAATGCAGGCAGTGGCTGGATGCCAGCTGCCCACAGTCAGCAGCAAGGACCAGGGGTCAGCAGCTGAGCTCCTGGGCAGCAGGGGTCAAGATCACAGGCTCTGAGGCCAGAGTGCACAGTTTACATTCTAGCTAATCAAAACCTGTGAAGATTAAATGACTTAACTCTTCTGATTTTCCCCTCTATAAAATGGAGGTAATAGCATGCCACTGGGTTTTTATGAGGATTAAGTGACAGTGCGTGGGACATAGCAAGTGCTATAAGTCTCAGCCATCCTTTGAACCCTTGGTTCTTTTCATTCTGGGGTCACAGCTGAGTCTTGCCATGGCTGCCTCCATCTGATTAGGCCTTTCTGATGTTGGTAGATGTTCCACTAAGAGCCCCAAGAAGACTTCTGCACAGTTAAGAAAATAACATTTTGTTGACTGATAGGCACCTGCTGAACACCTTGTGGCTCTGGATGTGCAGGCAACCAATGCATGCATTATTCATGACACTCTACCTGAAAAAATGCCCACCTGATGAAACTGACATTCAGTTAAATGAGTTAATGTATCTACCACGTTCAAAAGCGTCAGGCGGAGCAGATACGGTTCCTTCCGTTTCCTCTCTCCTTCCTTCCAAACAGCTATTACATAATCTCACAGCCACACTGTGTATGGAGGGCACAGACAAGTATGAAACAGATGGATGGATCAGAAGTTAAAATAAAACCCACCCACACTCCATGAAGGCAAGGGGGGAGAGCAGCGTGCAGCCTGATAAGATTCCCCGAGCTTCTGGGTGGGAGTGGGCTGCAAGATGCCACACAAGAGGTCAGCTTTCTTACAGAAAATCAAGAACTGACTGATTCATTTTAATCCCACAGTATACAAAGGAAAGCACTGGTTTTTCTATACAAAAATCTTCTTTCCTGAGCAGAAAAACAGGATCATGGAATGTAGACTGCTAAAGACACAAACACAAAAGGCCCTCCTGAGAAATGGATCTTTTGAGATGAAGCTTGGCAGGAAAAGGAAATGAACTTACTTCCAGCTCAGGAGCTGCATATCGCCCCTGCAGAGCATCGGAACTCGATCTCGTGGTTGATGTCAAACTAAGAAACAAACAAAAAAGTCAGCTAGGTGCATTAACATGTTACAACACATGGAAATGAATGGAAAGCCGGCTGCCCATGTCTGATGAGTCTCACTGTCACCTACTGTTCAGGTGACTTAAAGCAGTCTATTTTAATATCCCACCTTATTCCAAAATTGTCTGATTCTATAGTTAATATCATTTTACACGGATTACATTAGATCATTTTACACAAAGAAGAAGTTTGTAGGTAGTAGTAAGATATTTTGGTTGTCAGTATTGCTTTTTGACTCTCCTCCCTCAAATGCTAGAATAATTTTGTAATTTCACCTTTATCTTTCCCTCCCTTTGACTAGTCTTGCTTAGAGGGGATCAAAAGCAATAAGCCCAGAGATGCCAACAGAAATAGAGGACACGAAAGGAAAGGTTGCAGTTATTAACTGTGATAGCCTATGGCAGAACAAGGCTTGCTGTTTGGAAATTTAACAGAGTAGCAGTCGGTGTAATAAAAAATTCTGCCTCTTTCCCCAGACCTAGAAAGGTAAAATGTTAGAAAATTTGCCTTGCATGGGGTAAAATAATTTATTTTTTCTGAAAATAAAAACACGCCAGAAGTGGTGGCTCATGCCTGTCATACTTTGCAAGCAAGGGGCTGGAGGATCACCTGAATGAGGCCAGGAGTTTGAGAACGGCCTGGGCAACACAGCAAGACCTTGTCTCTACTAAAAAGAAACACAGAACATTCTTTTTTTTGAGATGGAGTTTTGCTCTTGTTGCCCAGGCTGGAGTGCAATGGCGCCATCTCCGCCTCCTAGGTTCAAGCAATTCTCCTGCCTCAGCCTCCCGAGTGTAACTGGGACTGTAAGCACATACCACCACACCCAGCTAATTTTTTTGTATTTTTAGTAGAGACGAGGTTTCACCATGTTGGCCAGACTGGTCTCGAACTCTTACCTTGAAAACACAGAACATTTTTAAGCAAATAGAAATGTATTCAATACTTAGGGTTCCAGCTAACTTTAGAGATTCATTTAGCAAATATTTACTGAAGGCCCACTATGTATCAGGCCCTATTCTAGGCACTGGGGACTTAGTGACACAGGCAACAATCCTGCCAGCATGTAGCTTCTGAGCTGGCCTAGACATGGGCAGGGTGTGTTGGTGCTCAAGAGGCTGGTCTACTCGTGGACAGGCAGGGACAAACACGCATCTCAGTCCAGCGAACCCCATGGGGCAACACTGCCTCCTCTGCACAGTCTCATCCTCTTTCCCACGGAGAGAAGACATCAGCGAGACAGAGATAAACAATAAAAAGCTTTCCTCACACAGAGGCCCACTGAGATCCAAGCTCACTGCTTCTCTTGTGATCCACTCAAGTACAACAGCATCACTTTCATTTCTGCTTTGAGCTGATGGATGCTAATCCAGGCCCATGCCACTCCACCTCCTGACTGTGTGCCTGGTCAGAGGGAGATGGAAACATCTCCCAGTGACTGTGCACCTAAGGAACACACACCTGATCCTACCTTTAAGAGTGGCCCAGCTGGGGAGGGTGGCTCATACCCGTAATCTCAGCACTTTCGGAGGCTGTGGCAGGCAGATCGCTTGAGCTCAGGAGTTTGAGACCAGCTTGGGCAACATTGCAAAACCCCGTCTTTACAAAAAATACAAAAATTAGCCAGGTGTGGCAGCACATGCCTGCAGTCCCAGCTATCTGGGAGGCTGAAGTAGGAGAATCGATTGAGCCTGGGAGGTTGCAGTGAGCATAATCACATACCAGTGCACTTCAGCCTGGGTGACAGAGACCGTCTTAAAAAAAAAAAAAAAAAAAAAAAAGAGTGGCCTTTATTCTGTGCATGCATGCAAGTTTTGATTTAGTACAGTGTTTCATTTCCACAGGGGAAAATACAAGTTTTTAATTTTAAGAAGAGATCAGTATCTAAAATTTTCATTTGAAAGGTAACATTCATTATTTAAGAGACTCGCAATAGGCCAGGTGCAGTGGTTCACGCCTATAATCCCAGCACTTTGGGAGGCCGAGGCAGGTGGATCCCTTGAGGTCAGGAGTTCCAGACCAGCCTGGCCAATATGACGAAACCTTGTCTCTACTAAAAAAAACACAAAAATTAGCCGGGTGTGGTGGCAGTCACCTGTAATCCCAGCTACTCAGGTGGCTGAGGCAGGAAAATTGCTTGACACCTAGGAAGCAGAGGTTGCAGTGAGCTAAGATCACACTACTGTACTCCAGCCTAAGCAAGAAAGCGAGACTCTTGTCTCAAAAGAAAAAAAAAAAGACTCAGAATAAATATTCTACTTTAAATACTTTGAATTAACATAATTTCCGGAAAAACAAAGCTCTTGATTTGGGCTCCTTTGCCACTTCACCGTCAGAGAGACCTCATGTGGGGAAGGTTTTGTTTTAACTTCTAAAACTAACAGCATTCAGAGCATCATTAATGCCATGTGACTTCTGCAAGTAGATGTTATCCTACATTAAGAACTTTATTCAGTTGTGGGCGTAGTGGCTCATGTCTTTAATCTCAGCACTTTGGGAGGCCAAGGCGGGCAGATCACCTGAGGTTAGGAGTTTGAGGCCAGCCTGGCCAACATGGTGAAACCCCATCTCTACTAAAAATACAAAAATTAGCTGAGCATGGTGGGGGGCGCCTATTGTCCTAGCTACTCAGGAGGCTGAGACAGGAGAATCGCTTGAACCCAGGAGGCGGAGGCTGTAGTCCAGCCTGGGTAACAGAGCAAGACTCTGTTTCTCAAAAAAAAAAAAAGGATCTTTATATCTTTATTCAGTTGTAGCCTTTCCCCATAAAACACTCTTCTTGGAATTATCAAGAACGGTTGTTTTTATAAGCTCTTAAAGCCCAGGAAATGTTTATTGTCTGCATTCATGCTATTAAAAAGACCACTGTTGGGTGAGCATAGCACAAATTGCTATAAAACAATCCCTGGGGTTCCCTATAAACCTCTCCTCTGCCTGGGCTAAGATAGGTGTGGGCTAAGATAGTATTTCCCGTGGGGATAGAGGGAGACTGCCAGCACTGGGCTGAGATGATGCTTTACTGTACGGAGAATGTCTAACGCACCACAGTGTGTTTACTGTCTCTGCCCGGTGCTGCCCCACCCCACCCCAAGATGCCAGTGGTGCTCTGCAGTCATGGTGACAGCCAAAAAAAAAAAAAGCCATCCTCCGTTTCGCTGCAGAACCACGACAGTGGCCAGAACCCCTTCCACACTGGCAGAAGAATGCACAATGAAGGGGCCCCTCAACACTGGCACTGCAGATGCCTTTTCAAGCTGGCTAAAGTCCACTAGACCACAGAAAATATCTAAATACGTCCAAACGTTCCTGGAGATCACACATTCTGTTCCCTGACAAATGTACAGGGCAGGCCCTTGACGGATCCCACCTATTCCCAGCCTTTGTGTGATGATGAAACTCAGTCATGCTCCCCTGTGCTACAGAACCCAAAAGAGACCCGAGCTCTCTGTGAATCTGGGGCACGAGGTGGAAGATTTCTAACTTGATTTCTAGCTGTCGAGTCAGCCTGGAACAGAATTCCCAAAATGAAAAGACAAATTTCCCCCTCCTTCCTGCCCCCTACCCTTAAAGTAGCAGGCCCAGAACGTGCAAAAGAATAAATACCCTTCCTTGACTTCCCAACTTTTCTTAATGTAAACCAATCCCCTTGCCAATGCTATCACACCAACCTGTATCTGCAAACTTTCCCACTTCAAACTAGGAAGTTGTTTGACATTGAATAAAGATTCTTACATTTTCCAGTTTTATATTTAAAAAGATATTCTCAAAGATGGTTCAATATTAAGAACTATATTTTTTCTCTTAAACACAAATAAAAGTGGAATGGCCAGGAAACTTTATAGTGCAAATGCCTTGTAGTAGTACAATTAGGCAGGTTCCAGCTTGCCTTCTCCCTCAGGGGACATTGCTTCAAGCCACCTCAGGAAAAAGAGCCGGAGAACGACTATCCACCAGTCTCCCTAAATACTTCTGCAAAGCAGCCTCAAGGAAAGGCTGCCCAAAATTGGGATTAGAGAGCTGCAAATACAGGCTCCAAGCATCCTTACATGTACAATAAGGAGACTGACCTAATCAACTCCAGGATCCTGTCCAGGCTGATAGCTGAAGGCAACAGAGTAACAACTTCAATCAAAATCCAGGGACCAAGGAGGGAATTAAGAAATAGTTTCTGGAGGTCAGGGCTTGTCACAGCAAAGTTCCAAACTAAAGGGGCATAGAGGGGTGGGCGTATAGAAAGAGCCATCAGAAAGCCAGGCGCCATGGTTGTGCCTGTAGTCCCAGCTATTTGGGAGGCTGAAGCACAAGGATTCCTTGAACACAGGGGTTTACCCAGCCTGGGTAACACAGTGGGAGATTGCCTTAAAAAAAAGTTTTTCTATTTAAAAAAATAAAAAGAGGCATCAGGGAACTCTCACAAGTGGACCAAGGTGAAGGCTTACATGGGGTCCAAGCTGATGCTCTTTCACAGTAATGATTCCTGTGTGCAATGGAAGAAGGCTCTGGAGAAAAGGCAGTCCCAGGCAGAAAGGCAGGGAGTAGGTTTGGGTTGAGCCCTTCTTCTGAGCTGAGACTGCAAACATTAAAACATACTCCTAGTGAGTCCCCCAGATGCAAGAGTCAGGACAGATACCTCAAAAGAACAAAGTGTTTGGGGGGGGTGGTGCTGGGGTACTCTGGAGGGGAAAGGAAAGAGAGGAGCTGGGGAGCTTTCCAGCCTTCTACAACTTTACAGAAGAGTGGACCCCAGGTGACCTTGCAGCCTTCTCCTTTTAACCTACATACTATCTAAAGTCTCTGGCTTCCTACAATTTCTATCAAGAATCCTAGATATTCCTGCAATTATGCTCAAATGACAGACGATGTGGCCTTTTTGTAACATCCTCCAACCTTTCATTCCTCTGAGTCAGGAAGGAAAACAAACTCTTCAGAAGCCAGATCTGAAAAAACCCTAGTTAAGGTGACTCCCACCCATACAGCATTCCTTTTATTCCCAGGCCCTACTAAGCCTGAATTCAGTGTTCTCAAAGCTGACCCCTGCAGGAGCTGTAGCGGACAACTACAGCAAATATCAATCACACAGACCCCAGGGGCATTTACTCCTAGGAGGCACGAACTGCCCAGCTCAGAGTGTGGTCTCTTGCCTACTGATTACAGAAGTATCCCACAGAGCAGACTGGTCATCCTAATATGTACTTTGTAGGAGCTGCTTTTTATATGTTCTCATCCCACCAGGCACTGCAGTTTTGTGATTTAACTACAAGCATTCAATAACAGTTTGCTGCTGGCATTAGACAGATTTTTTTTTTTTTTTTTAAGTAGCTATCAACTTTGAAAACAGACATCTTTTGGGAATATCAGACTAGCCCCTGCCAGTCTCCACTATGGTGCCTCAATCCTATCAGAGACAACATTTATTTATCAACTCTTACTCAAGGGCTGACTCAGGGGTAACTAAGAAGTAATTCTTTACACCTGCTAGAAATCCTGAGAAAATATGATAGGGGGAAAATTCGATGCTGTGAGATATCCTATGTGTGGTAACCCTATACAGAAGGCTGAGAACTTTTGCCACCTTTTCCATTGAAGGGTTTATGGCAAATCCAAACTCTACTTTATCTAAAGGGGAATTTTTTTTTTTTTGAGATAGAGTTTTGCTCTTGTTGCCCAGGCTGGAGTGCAATGCTGTGATCTGAGCTAACTATAGTGAGTTCAAGCAATTCTCCAGCCCCAGTCTCCGAGTAGCTGGGATTACAAGGGTATACCACCACACCCAGCTAATTTTTGTATTTTTAGTAGAGACGGGGTTTCACCAGGTTGGCCAGGCTGACCTTGAACTCTTGACCTCAGGTGATTCGTCCACCTTGGCCTCTCAAAGTGCTGTGATTACAGGCATGAGCCACCGTGCCCAGCTAAGGGCAATTTTTTTTTTTTTTTCATATACTACTAGGTACCCAGTAACCCCAAAAACCATGATTTTATCTTGTCAAATATCTTAATAGTTTTTTATTTATTTTTTTCTTTTTAAGAGATAGGGTCTCACTCTGTTGCTTAGGCTAGAGTGGAGCTACTCCCAGCTCACTGCAGCCTTAGACACCTGGGTTCAAGCGATCCTCCCATCTCAGCCTCTCAAGTAGCTGGAACCACAGACACACGCTACCATGCCTAATTTTTTTTTTGGTAGAGACAGGGTCTCACTATGTCGTCCAGGCTGGTCTCGAACTCCTGGGCTCAAGTGATCCTCCTGCCTCAGCCTCCCAAAGTGCTGGGATTACAGGTGTAAGCCACTGTACCACCCAGCCTGCTTCCTATCTGGTAGCTACTCAGTGAACAACTTATGGAATAAAATCTAAAGGCCAGAAAGAAGTCACCACAGTCCATTCTGCAACAAGGAGCCTGTCAGCATGTCACACACAGACGGAGAATGAATGTATGTAACCATCAACTTAACACCCACCTGCAAAACAACAAGCATGTTATGGCTTGATGCATGACCCTGAGCAAACAGACTCTAAAAGGTCTGTGTCCCTGTTGGTCCCTTTTTAATAGTAGAAGCTATTAAATGAAGTAAGAGAAAATGTCAACATGCTCACAGAGACATTGTATTTATACAAGCTATCACCACCAGTAGTGTTTAGTTTCAGCAAAGAGGAAGATTACAATGTGCCTATGACTTAATTCAACTAAATTGAAATTTTATACTGAAACATTAACAAAACATAAACACCTAAGTAAGGGCTAAATGTGAAAAGGTTACTGTCAAAGGGAAACTTAGTTATCAGTGAAACATATACCCAGACTAATCATTTCTGTCCTTGACTGTTTTCCCTGTAGCCATCTTTTAAACCTTTTATGGTGGGAATAACCCCCACCATAAGCGTCTGAAACACAGTCCACTCAGATATCAACCTACTTTCGGAAAAGCTGCCTTGCCTACTGAACAACAGCATTGTGGGTTTTAGCAGAGAAGAGAAGGACCATTCCTTGTCTGCACACAAGGACCATGCCTGCAGCACTTAGTACTCTCCATCAACAGCAGAACAAAGCTATTTCCTTTGGATGAGAAAGCTGCCAGGATAGGCCGGGCACGGTGGCTCACGCCTGTAATCCCAGCACTTTGGGAGGCCAGGGTGGGCAGATTACGTGAGGTCGGGAGTTTGAGACCAGCCTGACCAACATGGAGAAACCTTGTCTCTACCAAAAATACAAAATTAGCCTGGCATGGTGATGCATGCCTGTAATCCCAGGTCCTCAGGAGGCTGAGGCAAAAGAATCGCTTGAACCCAGGAGGCAGAGGTTGAGTCAGGCGGAGATCACACCATTGCACTCCAGCCTGGTCAACAAGAGTGAAACTGCATCTCAAAACAGGGCCGGGCACAGTGGCTCAAGCCTGTAATCCCAGCACTTTGGGAGGCCAGGGCAGGCTGATCACAAGGTCAGGAGTTCAAGACCAGCTTGGCCAATATGGTGAAACCCCATCTCTACTAAAAATACAAAAATTAGCCAGACATGGTGATGCATGCCTGTAGTCCCAACTACTTGGGAGGCTGAGGCAAAAGAATCGCTCGAACCCAGGAGGCAGAGGTTGCAGTGAGCCAAGATCAGGTCACTATACTCCAGCCTGGGCAAGAGGGAGGGAGGGAGGGAAGGAGGCAGGCAGGCAGGCAGGCAGGCAGGCTAGCTGCCAGGACATTCTGGCACATTCTATCTCTTTCTCACTGTGTGCTCCCCTGCCCTCCAGTAAGGGTGTAGCAAACTACTATTCAAGCGTCTTAGGCAATGGTGCTGCGACATACCATATATTTGCCTTCTTTATCCCAAATAAAAACAAGTAAGGTAAACCAAGTTCAAATATTTAGAGTTCATGCTCTTCACCTTTTCACTTGTGGCTGTTTTCCCCTTTCCTCAAATGGTGTTTATTTTTGCAGCCTCACAGCTACTGAAAGTTATTTTGATTCTTTTCCTGGAATTTCAAAGTCTATAAAAATGGCCTTGAGTAACTCCCAAGACTTACCAAGAATACAAGATACATCCGATTAAGAGGCCGGTCCCCAGTATAGTCACCAAGTTTTCATCTTTGTACAGGTCTTGACCAAAGTTAGGCACACAGATTGTAATATTTTTCCCATGCTCATCTAGAACTTGTAAAGAAAAAACAAAGTCATCACAGTCAAACAGAAAGCCCATTTGCAACTCGCAGAAGCACTCATTTTGGGAAAATTCAGAGAGCTGTGGTGTACCTCCTTAGAACAGGGAACACGTATCACTGGAAACTACTCTACAGGCTGTTTCCATGCAGACTGGTTTTCTGCTATTTCAAAGAACCATTCTCCTACAACAGCACACACTTGGAACAAGACTCTCAGATTCCAGCTCAGTGCTATGGGGCTCAAACAGATCCAGGGCCTATGGAGAGAGTCTTGCTCGTTTTCAGTACTATTCAAACAATAGTAATGTGACATGGTAATAGCCCCATAAACTGCATACCTCAACCATACCTCAGCTTTCCATTGAAACTGCTCTCTATAACCCTAATGTGACAGGCAAGCAGTCCAAACCAATGTCATTTTGGCCCCTGCGCAATTTTAAGGCTTGTAGAAAGTAAGTAAGGTCTGTAATTTCCATCCTACTCAGACAATGTGTAAACTAACGCTTATCGTGACTTCTGTGAACCACTTAAGTAACAATCGGAATGTCCAAAGTCCCCTGGCCCTCAGAATGTGCAAGGCCCCTCACCCCCACCCCCACCCAGGAGGTGGTTTACGGGCATAAAAGCTCTTGACACCCCCCTTTTGGGGCCACAGGTTATAGAGACGAGAGTCCTCCGTGGCCACCAGCAAAGACCCTGTAATTTGGCCAAGTCTTTGTCTCAGTGGTGATTTCGCGCTCGCTCTGTTACAACAGTAAGAAGACAAGTCAGGTGCATTTTTCAGTTGAAGGGGCAGTAGCCCCTAAAGAGAGGTAGGGTGCAGATACCAAGCAGTGCTGAGGCTAATCAACAGCCAACAATAGCTCCTAACCCAGGTGAGCAGTTATTTTGCTCTATGTGATATGATAATCATGTTATCTTTCTGTGTATATCTTTCTGTGTATAACTCTGGATCTCTTTTTAAATGTGAGAGGTGGGATATTATAAAATACATATTTGGTCTTCATCCGCATTTACTTGCATACAACTCCTAAAATCCTTGAAATCTCCAAAGTGGTGTATTTTTGTATGTTAATGATTGACTAACGGTTGGCAGCCCCTAGGGAGCTTCAGGATGAGGGCTGGTCACCAGAAAGACCAAGGTAGGATTAGAGGGTTGGGACTTTCAGACCCACTCTCCAAACTCCAGGAATGGGAGGAATGGTAGTTGATCACCGAGGGCCAATGGTTTAATCACTTAATCAAGCATGCCTATGCAATGAAGTCTCCATAAAAGGCCCAAAAGGAAATGGTTCAGAGAGCTTCCTGAGAGCTGGACGCTTACAGGAAGGTGAACAAGAACCTCTTCCACATGATAGGAAGCCAGCCACCCCAACTCCATGGTGACAGAAGCTGGGGACCCTTCCAGATCTTGCCTTATATATCTTTTCACCTGCCTATTTGTATTCTTTAAAATATCCTTTGTAATAAATCAGTAAAGTATTTCCTGAGTTCTGTGAGCCACTCCATCAAATTAAATCACCCCAAAGAAGGGGTAACTGTGGGAGCCCCAACTTGAAGCCTGTTGGTCAGAAGTTCTGGAGGGCCGGACTTGTGACCAGTGGGAATGGTAGGGCTGTTCGGTGGAACTGAGCCTTCAACCTGCGGGATCTGACCTCACCTCCAGGTAGAGCATCCGAACTGGAGGATACCCAACTGATGTCCACTGAGGAAGTTACTGCCTGCTTGCTGGTGGGGAGAAATCTCCACATATTTTAGTGTCACAGAAACCTTCTGTGTTGAGTGTCGTAGTGTGAAAGCAGAGGAAAAACTGAGTTATTCCAAACACTACCTAACAAAGATTCCTATAATGTTAACCAGCAGTGGTAATTTGCCTTTTACCTAACATGAAGTCTTCCACTTGGAATATCCAACCTAGGTCTGACTGCCAACTTTGCCACGAAAGCAAGTAACTTAAAATAATACTCTAGAAACCACTTATAAACGTGCATATTTTAAGTGTTTTAAGTTAGACTAAAATTATGACTGGTATTTGTACTTGAAACAGTAAACAGAACTGTGTACGCTGTGCTTTAAGGAATCTTTTATTATTTGTACAAATTTATGGGGTAACTTTTTTACATGGCTAGATTATATAGTGGTGAAGTCTTGGCTTTTAGTGTATCTATCACCCAAATAACGCATATTGTACCCATTAAGTAATTTCTCACCATCCCCTCCCTCCTTCCTATGTTTTGTCTACACCGTCTATCATTCCATACTCATATCCATGTGTACACATTATTTAGTTCCCACTTAAAAGTGAGAACATGCAAGTATTTGTCTTTCTGTGTCTGCTTGTTTCACTTAAGACAATGGCCTCCAGTTCCATCCATGTTGCTGCCAAAGACAGGATTTCATTCTTTTTTATGGCTGAATATTCGTGTGTGTGTGTGTGTGTGTGTGTGTGTGTGTGTGTGTGTGTATGACATTTTCTTTATCTAATCATCTACTGATGGACACTTAGGGTGATTCCCTATCTTTGCTATTGTGAACAGTGCTGTGATAAACACAGAGGTGCAGCTATCTTTTTGACATAATGATTTATTTTCCTTTTCATAGGTACCCAGCAGTAGGACAGCTGGATCAAATGGTAGCTCCATTTTTACCTCTCTGAGAAATCTCCAGTTTCCCATAGAGGCTATGCTAATTTACATTCCCATGAATGGTGTAAGTGTTCCTGTGTCTCCACATCCTTGCCAACATCTGTTACTTTTTGTCTTTTTAATAATAGCCATTCTGACTGGTGTGAAATGGTGTCTTGTGGTTTTAATTTGCATTTCTCTGATGATTAGCAATGTTGAGGATTCTTTTTCATATGCCTGTTGGCCATTTATATGTCTTCTTTAGAAAAAAAATGACTATTCATGCCCTTTGACCACTTTTTTTAAATTGTACTTTAGGTTCTAGGGTACATGTGCAGATCGTGCAGGAATGTTACATAGGTACATACATGGCAAGGTGGTTTGCTGCCTCCATACCCCCATCATCTATACCTGGCATTTCTACCGTTATCCCTCCCCACCCTCCTCACCCACTGCTGTCCCTCCACTAGCTCCCCACCCCTCAACAGACCCCAGTGTGTGATGTTCCCCTCCCTGTGTCCACGAGTTCTCATTGTTCAACACCCACTTATGAGTGAGAACATGCAGTGTTTGGTTTTCTGTTCTTGTGTCAGTTTGCTGAGAATCATGGTTTCCAGATTCATCCATGTCCCTACAAAGGACACGAATTCATCATTTTTTATGGCTGCATAGTATTCCATGGTGTGTATGTGGCACATTTTCTTTGTCCAGTCTACCACTGATGGACATTTGGGTTGGTTCCAGGTCTTTGCTATTGTGTAAATGGTGCCACAATGAACATACGTGTGCATGTATCTCTATAATAGAACAATTTATAGTCCTTTGGGTATATACCCAGTAATGGGATTGCTGGGTCAAATGCAATTTCTCTTTCTAGATCCTTGAGGAATTGCCACACCCAGATTGACCACTTTTTACCATATTGGCCAGGATGGTCTCGATCTCTTGACCTCATGATCCACCTGCCTAGGCCTCCCAAAGTGCTGGGATTACAGGCGTGAGCCACCGTGCCTGGCCTTGACCTCTTTTTAATGGGATTATTTGCTGGTTTTTTGTTGTTGAATTGAGTTTCATGTAAATTCTGAATATTGCTCCCCTATCAGACACTGTTTGCAAGTATTTTCTCTGATTCTGCAGGTTGTCTCCTCACTCTGTCGATTATTTCTTTTGCTGTGCAGAAGCTGCTTAGGTTAATACAGGTCCATTAGTCTGGTTTTGTTTTTGTTGTCTGTGCTTTTGAGGTTTCAGTCATGCATTCTTGGCCTACAGCAATGTCCAGAAGGGTTTTCCTAGGTTTTCTTCTAGTATTTTCATAGTTGCAGGCCTTACATGTAAGTCTTTAACCTACCTTGTGTTGATTTTTGTATGTGATGAGAGACATGGGTTCAATAGGGGTTCAGTTTTATTCTTTAGCATATAGAAATCCAAATTTTTCAGGACCACTTATTGAAAAGGATATGCTTTCCTCACTGTTATATTTTTGTCAATGAACAGATGGCCATAAATATGTGGTTTTACTTTTGGGTTCTCTATTCTGTTCCATGGATCTATTCTTATACAAATACCATGCTGTTTTGCTTACTGTACTTTGTAGCATAATTTGAAGTCAGGATTCCTCCAACTTTGAAGTATGATTCCTCCAAGCTTTGCTCTTTTTGCTTAGAATTGCTTTAGCTATTCTGGCTCTGTTGTCTCCATACATATTTTAGAATTGTTTATTCTTTTTCTGTGAAAAAAATCATTGGTATTTTGATAGGGATAGCACTGAATCTGTAAAACTGCTTTAGGCAATATGGTCATTTTAATAATATCGATTATTGTGATCCATGAGCATGGGATGTCTTTCCATTTGCTTGCATCCCCCTCCCCTCTTTGTTTTTGAGACATGGTCTTGCTCTGTCGCCCAGTCTGGAGTACAGTGGCCTGATCATAGCTTAGTAACCTCAAACTCCTGGGCTCAGGTGATCCTTCCACCTCAACCCCATAAATAGCTAGAACTACAGGTGCATGCCACCACACCCAGCTAATTTGTAAATTTTTTGTAGAGATGGGGTTTTGCTATGTTGCTCAGGCTGGTCTCAAATTCCTGGCCTCAAGCCATCCTCCCACCTTGGCCTCCCGAAGTACTAGGACCACAGGCATGTGCCACTACACACAGCCCCTCCCTTTCATTTTTTTCATCAGTGTTTTGTAGTTTTCATTGTAAAGATCTTTTACCTCCTTCGTTAAATTTATTCCTAGTTATTTTACTTTTTGTAGCTACTGTAAATGGGACTGCCTTCTTGATTTGGTTCTCCGCTAGATGATTATTAGTATATAGAAACACTACTAATTTTTTTTTTCTGAGGCAGAGTCTTGCTGTCACCCAGGCTGAGTACAATGGCATGATCTCGGCTCACTGCAACCTCCGCCTCCTGGGTTCAAGTGATTCTCCTGTCTCGGCCTCCTAGTTGGGATTACAGACATGGGCACCACCACACCTGGCTAATTTTTGTAACTTTGAGAGATGAGGTCTCACCATGTTGGCCAAGCTGATCTCAAACTTCTGACCTCAAATGATCCACTCAACTTGCCCTCCCAAAGTGCTGGGATTATAGGCATGAGCCAATGCACTCAGCCAAAACACTACTCAATTTTTGCATGTTGATTTTGTATACTGCATTATTACTGAATTAATTACTCAATCTAAGCATGTTTTGGTGGAACCTTTCAGGTTTTCTAGCTATAGAATCAAATCATCAACAAACAAGACAATTTGACTTCCTCTTTTCCAATTTGGATGCCTTTTATTTCTTCCTCTTGCCTGACCGCCCCGGCTAGGACTTCTAGTACTATGGTGACTAAGCGTGGTGAAAGCAGGCACCCTTGTCTTGGTCCAGTTCTCAAAAGGAATGTTTCCCATTTCCCCCCACTCAGTATGATGTTGGCTGTGGGTCTGTCATATATGGCCTTTATTATTTTAAGCTGTATTCTTTCTATTTACTATTTTAAGTTATATTCCTAGTTTATTGAGGTTTTGTTTTTTTTTTTTTACCATGAAGAGATGCAGAGTTTTAACAAATGCCTTTTCAGCATCTATTGAAATGAGCATATGGTTTTTATCCTTAATTCTGTTTATGTAATATGTAACACATAATGTATCATATTTATTGATTTGCATATGTTGAACCATTCTTGCATCTATGGTATAACACCCACTTGATCATGGTGTTACTATCTTTCGATGTACTACTGCATTCTGTTTGCTAGTATTTTGTTGAAGATTTTGCTATCTATGTTCATCAGGGGTATTGGTCTGTAATTTTCTTTTTTCTTGTGTCCTTGTCTGCTTTTGGTTATCAGGGTGATACTGGCCTTGTATAATGAGTCAGGGAGAATTCTCTCCTCTTCCATTTTTTGGCACAATTTCAGGAGGACTGGTATTCATTCTCCCTTTTATGTTTGGTAGGATTTGGCTATGACTCCATCTGGTCCTGGGCTTTTTCTTACTGGAAGATTTTTTTAAATCATTGATTCAATATCACTACTCAGTATTGGCCTGTTTAGGATTTCTATTCCTTCCTGCTTTCCAGAAATGTATCCACTTCCTCTAGGTTTTCTAGTTTGTTAAGTATACGGTTGTTCATAACAGTCTGTAATGATCTTTTGTGCTTTTGTGGCATTATTGTGATTTTTTTCCTTTTTCATTTCTCATTTTGTTGATTTGATCCTCTCTCTTCTTGGTTAGCCTAGGACCTTATCACTTTTGTTTATCTTTTCAACAAACCAACTTTTGTTTTGTTTTGTTGATCCTCTGTATTTTTCTCACAGGGGTTTGTTTTGGGGGGGGGAAGGGCAGTCTTCATTTCATTTAGTTCCTGATGGCTTTTTTTCTTTTTTTGGAGACAAAGTCCCTCTCTGTTGCCCTGGGTAGAGTAAAGTTGTGCAATCAGAGCTTATAGCTCACTGCAGCCTCAAACTCTGGGGCTCCAGTGACTCTCCCACCTCAGCTTTCAGAGTAGTTGGGACTACAGACATGCGCCACTATGCCTGGTTAATTTTTTGTATTTTTTGTAGAGACAAGGTTTTGTCATGTTGCCCAGGCTGGTCTCAAACTCCTGGGCTCCAGAGATCTGCCTGTCTCAGCCTCCCAAAGTGCTGGGATTACAGGCATGAGCCACCTCACGCAGCCCTGATCTTTGTAATTTTTTTTTTTATTATTTTTGAGACAGAGTCTTGCTCTGTTGCCAGACTGGAGTGCAGTGGTGTGATCTTGGCTCACTGTAACCACCAACTCCCCGGTTCAAGCGATTGTCCTGTCTCAGCCTCCTGAGTAGCTAAGTAGGGATTACAGGCATGTGCTACCATGCCCAGCTAAGTTTTGTATTTTTAATAGAGACAGGGTTTCACCATGTTGGCCAGGATGGTTGATCTCTTGACCTCATGATCTACCTGCCTCGGCCTCCCAAAGTGCTGGGATTACAGGTGTGAGCCACCGTGCTTGGCCAATCTTTGTTATTTCTTTTGTTCTGCTAGCTATAGAATCATATCATCAGCAAACAAGACAATTGGTTGGTTTGGGTTTGGATTCTTCTTGCTTTTCTAGTTCCAGGTACAACGTTACATTGTTAATTGGTGATCTTTCTGCTTTTCTGATGTAGGCACTTAATGCTATAAACTTCCCTGTGTATGCTGTGGTTTCGCGAATCTTTATTCTTGGGCTAATTTTTAAAAAGAGCATTTGGAAATTTAAAATAACTTTTTTTTTTTTTTTGGTAGAAATTCTATGTTGCCAAGGCTGGTCTCGGCTCCTGGCCTGAAACAATCTTCCTGCCTCAGCCTCCCAAGGTGCCTAGATTACAGGCATGAGCGCTCAGCCTTTTTTTCTGTTTTTAAGGGATACCTGCCATTTAAAAAATGTTGTAAATAAAAATCCCATTAAGTTAAAACCTGAAATTAATACATAAACAGTCATAAAAGAAGGCCTTAAAGAGACTAAATTTAAGTAAACTTACAGAGTCAAGATAGAGTATTAAAAATAAAATAAAATAAAATCCAAGACAGGCAATACTTACTGTTAAGACCTCCACTTAACATTACTTTTCACTATCAATAGCGATAAGGCCAAGCCCGTATATAGTATGTATACATGCCAACACCTTCAAAATTATCATTGCACTAGCTTTCCAAATTTAAAAGAGGAAATAACTTCAATTTTCTTAGAGACTACATTTATTTGACTTACATAAGCTCAAATATACCCAATCATATATTTATATATGCTCATGTGTATGTATGTATGTATGTGCGTGTATTTACATTTATATATCACAAAAGTAACAGAGAGGTAAGTAAGTTTCTGCAAGTTACTTAAGTGGCAGGATCAGTCTATAAACCAGGCAGTCCGACTTCAAAGTTCACGCTCTAATCACTATATTCTGTTGTCTCTGTAAATAAATGTCATTTAAGACGAGTGGTCCGAGGTCACATAGCCAGTAAATCACAGATCTGGGCTCAGATCCTGCTCCCCGCTCTCCACTCCCCCACGTTCTTTCCACTCTCTCTGTTCCACTACTACAGTCAGGAAAAAAAAAAGAAATAACCAACTAAATTAAGAGGTTATTTAGGCCTAAAAGCAAACTCCACAGCCAAACCTTTGCTCCTGTCTGTGCCACACACCAGGAAGAATCGAAAAAGGGAATTTTCCTCTTCATAGCTCAAAGACTTTTTTTCATGAAAAAGTCTAGATCATCTCTCTACTGTGATTTAGTACATTTCTAATATTTATTTTTATTTCTTAAAGTAATTTTTGTGGATAGCAGGTGTATGTATTTAAGGGGTACACAAGACGTTTTAATACAGGCATGAAATACGTCACAATAACATCATGAAAAATGGAGTATCCATCCCATCATGCATTTATCCTTTGCATTACAAACAATCCAATTATACTCTTTCAGTTATTTTTAAATGTACAATTAAATTTGACTATAGTTATCCTGTTGTGCTATCAAATACTAGGTCTTATTCATTCTTTTTAATTTTTTTTTGGTACCTATTAACCGTCCCAACGTCCTCCCAAACCTCCCCCGAACCTCTCTCAGCCTCTGGTAACCATCCTTCTGCTCTCTATCTCCATGGCCTCTCCCACGTGTAAATAATAGCTCATTCCTCTGTGAATGAAAATACGCTGCAAACACTAGCCCCCTAACAGACTGGCTTACCTACTTCTGCAGGTTTGCTGGACAGAGCTGAGAAGGTGAGGTAGGTGACATAGCAGCTTATGACCCCTGATTGTAGGAGCCCCGAGTGTGGCTGTCCTGAAAAATGACAAGAGACAGACAGACAACAGGTTTTAATTTGAAGAAAAAGAAAACATATGCCTAAAAAAAAAAAAACCCGACAGTCCCCATGACAGTCCTCAAACTTGAGCATCTACCTTTAAAAGAAAGAAAAGAGAAAAAAAAGTAGTATGTTTCTCAATAAAACCAAAAAGACAGTAAGGGGGAGACAGCTATACACTGAGTTGAACATTGCTATTTTAAAGATGTCAGGTTCTGCCAAGTTCTCTACCAATATTTTATCAAGCCTATGGCTATACTTAAATATACTAGCTAGTCTCCGTGGGTTTATAACATTAGTTCTTAAATCACAAGATCAGAAACAAAATTACCATCATTGTTGATAAAGCCGCATAGCTTTGTTGGGGAGGGAAGTAAGTGAGAAACCAGGTTTGACGGGATGTATTCTGGATCCTACAAGGTCATCTCACGCTACGGACTATGACAGGACAAAAAGCTCTTACTTGTCAATGGACAAAAAGCTTTTGGGAACAGAATACAAGAACTGCTCTTGGCTAAAGAGGAAGACTATGGGCTCAGCATTCATTGGGAGAAGGGCTTTAAGGTTATTTTTATTTTTAACTTTTATTTTAGGTTTGGGGGTATATGTGCAGGTTTGTTGTAAAGATAAACTTGTCACGGCAGTGTGTCATACAGATTATTTTTTCACCCAGGTATTAAGCCTAGTGCCCATTAGTTATCTTTCTTGATCCTCTCCTTCCTCCCACCCTCCACCCTCTGACAGGCCCTAATGTATGTTGTTCTCCTCTATGTGTCCGTATGTTCTCATTTAGCTCCCACTTTTAAGCAAGAACGTGTGGTATTTGGTTTTCTGTTCCTTTGTTAGTTTGCTAAGGATAATGGCCTCCAGGCTCCATCCACATTCCTGCAAAGGACATAATCTCTTCCCTTTCTATGGCTACATAGTATTCCATAGTTTATATGTACCACATTTTCTTTCTTCAGTCTACCACTGATGGGCATTTAGGTTGATTCCATGTCTTTGCTATTGTGAATAGTGTTGCAATGAACATATGTGTGCCTGTGTCTTTATAAGAGAACCATTTATATTCCTTTGGGTATACAGCCAGTAATGAGATTGCTGGGCCTAATGAAAGTTCTGTTTTTAGATCTTGAGGAATTGCCACACTGCTTTCCATTATGGTTGAACTAATTTACACTCCCACCAACAGTGTATAAGTGTTCCTTTTTCTCTGAAACTTCACAAGCCATTAGTTATTTTTTTGAAAGTGATAATATTTCAAGTAAACTAAGGGTCCAGATCCTTCAGAGTAACCAGGATGTGATAAGGGATCTCTCTCTCTTTTTTTTTCCTCTGCGAAATTTTTGACCACTTACCAACATAAAAGGGTGCAGTTTTACTCAGTCTTCCCTTTGGTCAAATTTGTTTCCAAAATTATCATTATTAAATTCTAATTATCAATAAAGATATAAAATAGACCCTGTTATAATGTTGCTCTTTGGCATGGGAATAAGATTTTCCTTAGCACTTAATGATATTAAACCAAATATTTCAAAATGTTACTCCTATTTCAAAAGGTAGGATTTAACCCAAAGATGTTAATCTGAATATCATATTGTTCTGGGAACTCTTAACTGATCAATTAAAGGGACTAGAGAATAATACTCTCAATTTCAATAATGAACTTAAAATTTTTAGCAGAGAAAAATTATTTGCTACTACTAGTTGCCCCCCTTTTTGTTTTTTGAGACAAAGTCTTACTCTGTCACCCAAGCTGGAGTGCAATGGTGCGATCTCTGCTCACTGCAACCTCTACCTCCCAGGTTCTCCTGCCTCAGCCTCCTGAGTAGCTGGGACTACAGACGTGCACCACCACAATTGGCTAATATTTTTTGGCATTTTTAGTAGAGATGGGGTTTCACCATGTTGGCCAGGCTGCTCTTGAACTCCTGAACTCAAACGATCCGCCTACCTCGGCCTCCCAAAGTGCTGGGATTACAGGCATGAACCACCGTGCCTGGCCACTAGTTGCCTTTTAAAGCATTATTTTAGAAAGGATTCAAGGGGGCTGTAAATTTATTGGCTATCTTTTCCTACCTAGAACCCGAATGTCATGTGCATTGTCATCACACGTAGGGTCCGATGCCCACAGAAAACATCAGACCAGGGACATCTCACTCTGTAAGCCCAAAGACACTATCCTGGTTTAAGAAATCAAGAGTAGTTTATAAATGACAATTCACACTTATACTTCATAAAGCACTTTCAAATCCCACTGTCCCTTCCAGCTTTGAAACGACCATGAGCAGGGACAGGCTCACATGTTTCCACTGACTTCACTGAGGAAGAACATGGGTCTGAGGAAGGTTAGCACATAGGCCAGCCCACACTGTCCACAGCCTTGAGTGAAGGATGACCCCAGATTTTTAATAAAGAAAATTTAAAAAATTTTAATTAATATTTATATAAACTACAAAGCACTTGAATCTTTTCATTTTCATTTAGGTTTTTTTTTTTTTTTTTTAAACAGAGTCTCGCTCTTGTTGCCCAGGCTGGAGTACAGTGGTGCAATCTCGGCTCACTGCAACTTCCGCCTCCCGAGCTCAGGCGATTCTCCTGCCTCAGCCTCCCAAGTAGCTGGGATTACAGGTGCCCATCACCATGCCTGGCTAATTCAACTTTTACACAGAGTTGTAAAACTTCCGCGGCGCTCTCATTCAACTTTTACACAGAGACTGTAGGCAAGCTCATAAACAACTGAGCTTGATATACACAGAAGGCATTTCGTGTTTAAACGATTCTTGTGGTACATTATTTAGCAAAGGCGTTATCCTCCTATTCACTGACTTCGTTAAGTTCAGGTCTTTCTGACATGAGAAATGCTTGGCTATCACAGCTCGGGTGTGAGATATGAAGAGACTGGAGTCCCACCTTGCCTACTGTTGACATATCCACAGTAAGTTAAGGAATACACTAGTTTCCAAAAAGAGAAAAAAACAACCCACTGGGTTTGCTCAAAGACACTTAGGAAACATATAAATAAGGAAGAATGGAAAAAAACATGCTTACGATTTTGGACACAGGGCGAGATGGCTACCAATGAAATAAGCAGGCACAGGCCTCCGTTCACTCCCAGCAGAATTTTGTTTTCCATGCAGCCATCTTTCTGTGTGTAAAACACTGCCATCGAAACCAAGCCTCCAGTGGCAACAGAATACATGATGAGCGTCACCAGGGCCAGCGAGGCGTACCAGAGCTTGTTACTGGCCGTGCCTGCTGTCCTGTTTCTCCGGGAAGTAGGTAAGAGGGAAGGAAGAGAAGACAAGTCAATGAAGCCCTCCATTCTCTGATCACATTCACCATCCTTCAGGCAGTGACTAATGCCATCAGGCCACAGGCACTGCCACCCAGCTGCCCAGAAGACACATTGTTTTAGCAGGGATTATGCTCTATCAATGCTAGAAGGTTCTGGTAAATATGGAAACTTCTTGGCTCAAGCTTAGAATTTTCTCTCAACACTGAGAGAATTCCCCCTTCTGCCACAAATGTATTCATCAATTAAAATGAATAATGTCAACCCAAATGAGAGACTAAGGCAAGAGTCTCAGTCAGTCGAGGCTTACTGAGCCAGAGGGGTCTGAGGGCACACCCAAAAACGCACAAGTCACAGAATCCTTTGTGGACAGTGGTCCTAAGGAGGCTGCAGAGGGCTCAGGTTTACCCATTTATTTAAAGGGGAAAAGGCATGCATGAAAAGGTGGGCAGGTGGTGAGACAAACCTGACATTCTCCTGAGATTTTAATTTGCACCCAATAAACTCTGCTATACAAGAGATATGATAAACATTTTAAAAGGGAGTGAAGGAAGAGTTAATTATGTAGTGTCAAGGTAGGCAGAGGAATGACTGCTCTCCTGTCTTTGTTCTGCACCTGGGAAGGTGAGCTTGCAATGGGCATTGTCAGTGTGAAATGTAACAGACTGCAATTCCATGGACAAGGAGCTAGACTTAGATCACAGACCTAAAGTTACAGTTAACATGTCCTTTTTATGGGAAGATACACAGCTTGAAAGGTTAAGGGGCCAGCAGAGAATTTACTTAGCAGCAATTTGAGGGTAGACATCCGGGACGCATGAGGCCTTCTGCCTTCTATAGATGTCTAGCTAATGTCTAGCGCTTTGACACAAGGTTGGGAAGTCACATCTATCTATAGGGGGGTGGGGGGCAGCAGAGTCACATGACTGTCTCCAGGCTTAACTCTCCTTTTGGTAGAATGAGTTTGAGCAGTCCTGAAATGCTTTATTTCCTTTAGCTACCTACAGACTTTATTCTAGCTTTTCCATTTTGACTGTGGACCACGCTGTATCAGTTTTTGGCAGGATGAAAAAGTGGCTCTTCACGGGTCTTCTCCAAGTTTTCTCCATAAACATGGAACCCTGACGGGCATAGTCTCTACTTGAAAGTACTGCCGGGCGAGGTGGCTCACACCTGTAATCCCGGCACTTTGGGAGGCCCAGGCGGGCGGATCTCTTGAGGCTAGGAGTTCAAGACCAGCCTGGGCAACACGGCAAAACCTCATCTCTACAAAAAAAAGAAAACTTAGCTGGGTGTGGTGGCATATACTTATAGTCCCAGTCACTTGGGAGACTAAGGTGGGGGGATCACCTGAGCCCGGGGGGTTGAAGGCTGCTATGAGCCATGATTGTACTACCGCATTCCAGCCTGGGCAAGAGGGAGACCCTGTTTAAATTTTTTTTAATAATAATAAACTTTTTTTTTTTTTTTTTTATTTGGTATTTTGCTTTGTCACCAGGCTGGAGCGCAGTGGCGCAATCTCAGGTCACTGCAACCTCCACCTCCTGGGTTCAAGCAATTCTCCTGCCTCAGCCTCCCAAGTAGCTGGGACCACAGGCGTGTGTCATCACACCTGGCTAACGTTTTTGTATTTTTAGTAGAGACGGGGTTTCACTGTTGGCCAAGATGGTCTCGATCTTTTGACCTCGTGATCCACCCACCTTGGCCTCCCAAAGTGCTGAGATTACAGGCGTGAGCCACCACGTCCAGCCAATAATAAACTTTTAAAAACAAAGTGTTGCCAGCAGCTCTTGTGGATGGCATCTTCTTAGGGAGAAAAGAGGATCAGCTTTACTCAGAGCCAGAATGGCTGACTTCAGCTCTTTATTCCCTGTACTAAAGAAGAGGACCTGTAACTGCACTGCTTCTCTAAAATAGTGAAGAAAAATTTGACATTAAAAAAAGTTAGATAGGAATAAGTTCTGGTGATCAATTACATGGTAGGGTGATGATGGTTAGCAGTAAGGTATTGTATATTACAAGACAGCTAGGAGAGGCTTTTGAAGGTTCTCAACACAAAGAAATGATACAGCCTGGTCAACACAGCAAGACCCATCTACAACAACCAAAAACCAAACCAAAACAAAAAACACAAAAAATTAGCAGGGCATGCTAATTCGCCAGCTTTTTGGGAGGCTGAGGCAGGAGGATGTCTCGAGCCTAGGAGTTGAAGGCTGCAGTGAGGTATGACTATGCCACAGAGTGAGACCCTGTCTTTTTAAAAACAGAGAGAAAAAAAAAGGGGGAAGAAAGAAAAAGATGATACATCCACGAGGTAATGAATAGCCAACTGACTTGATTTGATTACTACATGACATATATGTATCAAAACGTCAAAATGTACCCTATAAATATGTGCAATTTTAACATGCCAATTAAAAAAAAAGGAGAATAAAATAAGTCAGGAAAAGAGTAATGGGATGTACAATTTAAAAAACTAACTAAATGAGCTGGATGCAGTGGCTCATGCCTGTACTCCCAACATTTGGGAGGCCGAGGCAGGCAGATCACCTGAGGTAAGGAGTTCAAGACCAGACTGACCAAGACGGTGAATCCGTCTCTACTCAAAACACAGAAACTAGTCAGGCACAGTGGTGGACACTTGTTATCCCAGCTACTTGGCAGGCTGGGGCAAGAGAATCACTTGAGCTCTGGAGGTGGAGGTTGCAGTGAGCCAAGATTATGCCGTTGCACTCCAGCCTGGGCAACGAGAGCAAGATTCTGTCTCTATTAATAAAAAATAAGAGAAATAAGTGGTGATTTAAATCTATAGAAATTGTTCAGAACAAGGCTGGGCTTGGTGGCTTACACCTGTAATCCCAGCACTTTGGGAGGTCAAGGGGGGCAGATCACATGAGGCTAGCAGTTTGAGACCAGCCTGGCCAACAGGGTGAAACCCTGTCTCCACCAAAAATACAAAAATTAGCCAGGCATGGTGGTACATGCCTGTAATCCCAGCTACTTGGGTGGCTGAATCGCTTTGACCCCAGAGGCAAAGGTTGCAGTGAGCCCAGATCATGCCACTGCACTCCAGCCTGGGCAACAGAGCAAGACCCTATCTCATACACACAAAAAGAAATTGTTTAGAACAAAGAAAAGTATCTATAACTGCTAAATGAAGAGGACAGGAGAACAGGGAGAATGAATTGAATGAATCATTGTCATCTGCCTTATGATTAAATGTTCTTTGTAACCACATTCTCCTAAACCTCACAGAAAAGGCAACTTGCTTTTTGCCCTCACAAAACCGGAAAGTGTTCAAGCAACGCAGCTAAAATGTTTTAATGACGAAAAAGTTCCTGCAGCCAGAAACAAAGAAAATAGGGAGGAAAGGCCAAAATGATAATGACCGTCATATTCCTGAAACTCTGCCAGACAAGACATTCCAATGACCTCAGAATTATTCTAACATAAAAGGCACACAAAGGAAATGAGAGAAAATGGGATTTTACAAAGGGAAAAAAAAAAAAAAAAAGAGCAAATAATAATCAATGATGGGGAGACAGCATAAATTATGTATAAAATGTAAACACTGCTGACTAGCTTGTGGGTGGGAGAGGACCAACGCTTTTCTTCACTAGTCTTTTCAGTTATGTTATTAGAATACGAAGGACTTTCTTAATTTATGTTTACAGTTTGTCCCAAAATTAAGTCTTCAACCCTAACCTTTCCCCTGAACTTCACTTATATTATCCAGTTGCTCATTTAATGTCTCCACTCGAAGGTCTAACTGGCATTTCAAACTCAGCACATCCAGGCTGAGGCTACTTCCTGATATTCACACCCCCATTCCTCCATCCCCCAAACCTGCTATTGTGCAATCATTCCAAACTCAGAAAACGCAATTCCATCTTCCTATTGTTGGAGAAAGGGGGAGGGGGAGGGGGAGGGGAGGGGAAGGGGAAGAAGGAAAAAGGAAGGAAGAGAAGAAGGAAAGAAGGAAGGGAGGGAGGGAGGGAGATGAAAAGAAGAACTGCAGTCACTCTGGAAGCCTCTTGCTTCTCTCCCCTGCCCCACCCACCTCCACCCAGAGCCAGCTTCAGAACAGGAGGATCCAGCTCCTGCTACCACTTAATTCCAGACTATGCCTCCTTCACCTGGATTGTCTCCCCCGACCTCCTTATTTGCACCTCTGACTCCTTCTCACCTGTCATGACTTAAAACAGATTATATTCTTTCCTTTCTAAGGCCCTCTGGTGCTCTCCCATCACACTAAAAATCCAAAGAAAGTCTTTACACTTGGCACCTAAAGCCCTTTGTTTCAATTCTGATAGAGAATTGGCACTGCAAACCACAAAACTTGAGGTAAAAAGGAAAAAAGAACACACCAGTTAGTTCAAACAGATTATTTAAGTGTGAAAACTGAAGTCAGAGGGGCCAACTGATGTGCCCTATAGTGAAACAGCAAACATAAAAGGGGCACTGAAGCGGAACACAATGCCATCCCAGCACTTTGGGAGGCCAAGGTAGAAGGATCTCTTCATCTCAGGACTTCAAGATCAGCCTGGGCAACATAGCGAAACCCCATTCCTACGAAAGAAAAAGGAAAGAAAGAAGAAAGAAAAGAAAAGAAGAAAGAAAGAAAAAGAAGGAAAGAAGCAAAGAAGGAAGGAAGGAAGGAAGGAGGAAGAAGGAAGGAGGGAAGGAAGGAAGGAAGGAAGAAAGGAAGGAAGGAAGGAAGGAAGGAAGGA